AATTAAACGAAATATATATCTGTTCACGCTGGGTTAGGGTTATGGTATAGGGTTTGGGTTAAGGGTTAGGGTTATATAACAAATATTTACAAACCTAAACAGATATATAATTTCGTTTTAATTGTAAAATTTAAACCCTAACCACTCATTTGTCAACCCAAACCGATATCTATTTTCGTTTAATTATAAAATCTAAACCTTAACCACTCATTTGGCAACCCAAACCGACATCTAATTTCGTTTTAATTGTAAAATCTAAACCCTAAACCCTAAATCCTAAACCCTAAATCTATTTTCTGATTTCCTTTTTTTTAATTGTGTTTTTTTTTTTAATTCTCTAGTATTAGTAATGACATGGCAAAACGATTGGCTATAATCTGTTGGGTGAATTTAAAGGTTCACCCCAGGGGTAAACCTAAGTATGGTTCGTCACGCTTATTAGAGTCAGAGATATCATAAAAATCCTTATCATAATATGATAATAACGCCTAGCTATAATTTGACTCTAAACTAAACCGAGGCAGATAGAGACGGGCAGGACACATGAACGATATTGTAAAGTCTGAGCCCATCTCAAGTAACGGCTGTAAATGGTAAATCGAGAAACCTCGGATAGGTTATTGGTCTGGATCCGAACATTTTTTCAGGTCGAGGACCAAAACACCTAAAAATTGAATTTATTTAATCTGTTTTTTTTTTTTTGAATCAATCCGGCAAAGAGCTCTACTCTTCATCTCGTAATGAACTTGATCTTCTTCCATGCGTGCAGCTGGTCTATATTTATATATCCGATAGCTTAGATTTTCGACTCATCGAGACACTAGGCAAGTCGCCACAGAGCTTGTTTGTGACGGAACTAATCAATGCTCAAAACGAATTGATTGAGGTGACAAAAGCAGGCTTCAAGCTTTACTGGTTAAAGTCGAAGCTTGAGGACGTTTCCTTGGAGAGGAAGAAAGCAGTTTCTGATGGTTCTCAAGACCAACAACTCGAGGAATGTGGAACTGACTTTGTCGGATCTTAAAGGTGAAGTGGACAAGAAGAAGATCAAATATACGGCTGCTTTCTTCATTCGTATTCATAGATTTTCTTATAAAGAGATTCTTTCTCTCTTGCTTCTCAATCAAGTTACCATAGATATAGTTCGGTTTGAAATCAAGTTTCTTTTCCGGCTAGGTCGAGTGGATCTTCGTGGTAATTAATTTTTTTATTGTTTAATATTTAAGATTGCTTCAATATCTCCAATGTATGATTTGGGTTACTGACCATGAACAAGTTGAACTCATTAGAGCTACCATTGTAACAAAACCAAATTAATTAACAATGTTCTAAGTTGTAATCAAGTTTGGAAAAGAGCTAGAACAAAAGTCTCTACCAAGATGGCACAAAAGTTCAATTATTAAAAAGTGAAATAAATGCATGTAAATTTGACAAACTGGAGAAAAACAAATGGTTCCATCAAATTTTTATTTAGTTTAATTTGTAGAATGAAACGAAAGGTACAATATGGTTCTTCTAGTAGCTAGACATACTGACCATTGCACCTCTGAGTAAAATAAGCCTTCACTATCTCGACGGAAAGATCTGGATTCCTGCCAGTGAAAACCTTGAACTCAACAGAGTCACAAATCGTCCTTAAATTCCCTACGATAAAATTTGCAGCAGAGTTGTTTAGGGCTTTGTCAAAAGGAATCAAGGACAGCTCCAAGACGTTAAGAGCATTGGATGAGTTAAGAGATGATATAAGCTTGTTTCTGCATAGATCCCGCAAATGCGGAATCTCATATTTGTCCGCTGCTATATAAAGTGGTCGAACATGTTTCTTCTCTTTTTCAGAAAGCACAGAGCGGTTGTTGTAAATGAACTCAACTAAAGCCTCCAATTCTTCTTGTTTAAGCTCATAGAGGGTGACTGTCTCGATCTTTCCATCCGAAACCTTGAACTTGTCGGATTCCAGCATCTTCTTAAACACCTTTGATCTTGCTGCCTATTAACATTTGATGATATAATAAAGTGAAAAGCATTTCAAGTAATATCCAACACTAAACATAATCATCTTTTAAAGTTAAACTTGTTTTTATTGAAAAGAGGTAATGGAGAAAAAATTTAGAGACCATAACAAGTTTGTGGGCGGAGATAGCTTCACCCTCTTCAGTGTCCCCTGCCTTGAGGAGTAGATCGACTTGCCATTTTTCACCTAAGATCTTTGCAAATCCACCCAAGAAAGTTTCTAGGTTGCTCTGCTTTGCCATAGTAGCTATCACTTGAACTTGTGATTTAGTAAACGGTGGTGAGTTATATAGAGAAAACTCCATAAACGACAGTCAAAATTACCCTTGTTTTTACTTTCTTTGTTTCCCAAGACTTACGAAATGGAGGAGAAAATTAATGGTAATAACATAAATTCCCAATTCCCAACTTTCAGTCACCCTTCTCTGTTTAGATTCCGAATTCTATGAACCACATGGATGTTTCTGAAGTATTTTTGAAAATATAAGTTGCTTGGTCAATGGAGTATTTGTTATATTTTTATTCTTTGACCAAGTATTTACACTTGTGATAGTTGTTTTCTTAACATTCTAATACTTATTGATTAAAGCTTTGACACAAAGTAATATTCATGTATGTTTCGTAGGAAAATAACTAGGGCTGTGTGTGTTTGGTTCTTCGGTTCCATTCGGTTCGATATTTTTTTATTTTTGTTTTCCAGCCTCTTAGGATCAATAAGGGAGCCAAAACAATTTTGGTTAGGTTACTTGCCAGTTCAGTTCGGTTTGAAAACTTAGAAGAAGGGCCGAAAAATAACCAAACTCTATTGGATATCGGTTCAGTTCCAGTTATTTACCTTAAAAATAATTAATATCCAAAAGTTAACAAAAATTGTTCTATAAACTATTGAGACAAAAATGTATTGGACCGAAAATAGCTAGGTTGAGTTAAAGATTGGATCAAAATGCTCTAAGTTTATAGAGGGTTGGCCAAACATTTTTGGTTCCATTCGGGTACACATGGATATCGGATAATAATTGAACCGATATCCAGTGGATAGTGTGACAGAAATCCATTTAGATACTTAGTGGTATCCATAATCAATCCAAAACTATTTTTCATTTCGGTTCAACTATACTTTTTCAATTTAAAATTTATTCTTTCCGTTTTCCCTAATTTAGCTTTCTCTGTTTGTTATCTTTCATTATACAAAATATTATTCTTAACATATTTATTTCAAATAAATTAAGAAATAATCCTTCCGATTTTTTAAGTTATATGTTTAAAATTTTACATATTAAGATTTTTTACAACTCATACTATATTACCCTTATTCTGTAATTAGTTACATATATATATATATATATATATATATATATATATATATATATATATATATTTAACTCTAATTTATAAGGGATCCAATATACAGTGAGAATGTTAAACATATATACAGTAAACCTCTATAAATTAATAATGTTGGGACCATGCAATTTTATTAATTTAAAGAGGTATTAGTTTATCGATAAATTAATAACTATTAATTTATAGAGAGCTTTTACTAATTTTGTAATTTCTTAAAAACTTTTTATCTAAAAATAAATTTTTCCTTAATAAGCAATATTTTTTTAAAACCAAGTACAAGTAGAGAAACAATTATTAAGTTTAAAAAACAACAAAAACTTTTTTCGAATAATAGAGTCATATTTCATTAAATATATTACATATAATATTTTAAATATATATCATAGTAATTCATATATGACATATATAAATTTATATCATATATATATATATATATATATATTAAGTTACATATACTTATATATACAGATAAGTTTATACAATGATTAATTTATGATATAGATGGGACAATATATTTACATGGGATTTTTAAAAAATTATTATCTTATTAATTTATCGATATATGTCATATTTTACATTGGTCCCAACTCGGGACCGAAAGAATTTATTAATTTAGAAAGGTTATTAATTTATAGAGTATTAATTTATAGAGGTTTTACTGTAGCTTGTATAGAAAATACTAGCTGAAAAATACAAAACATAATTTTTTTGAAAATATTTATTATCAAGGGACTGAGGAAGTATTGAATTGGCAAAACATGGTTACTCTCAACCTCATTTTTTTTTCTTCTAGATAGCAATAGAATCTCCTAATAGGATTTTAAACTATAAAGGCATATCAATCAGGTTACTCGGCTCCGGTCCAACCCAAAACCCGCAAAGTCAATATACTTGGTTTGGTCCAAAAAAAATTTACGAGCTAATATTTTAAAATCCGGCCCAATCCAAATATAATTAAATGTAAAATCGAGAGATTTTTTGGGATTTCACTTACAAAAAATATAATTTGACAACATTTATCAATATTTCTTTTGAAATCCAAATTAATGAAAATGTAAAGTGGATTATCAAAAATATCTAAAATCCAAACAGAAAATAGAACATATTAAACTAGATAGCTAGTGAAACTAAAATTAAGCATAAGAAATTAAATAACCTTTTTCATGTTTAAGTTATATGTCATTTTAAATATTTTTTTGTCGATTCTGAACTCTACTCACACATGCATGCAAACTTGCTACTCGATCGGTAGTATGAAAAACTACTTGAGAGAAGACGTTCTATTTATTCTTTCACTTCCATTCCCTAAATCCGATATCCACTATCTTTGCAACATTAAATTCTTCGGCAAAACGTTTTACAAAATATAAACGTTCTAGTTATCTTTGTTAAACGTTCTAGTTACCTTTGTTATTATTGAAACAAAAAGAACCAGAAAAAATAATTTAGCTCATCCTCACTAAACAAGTGTTTAACCGTAGTCACTTAGTAATAGTCATCAGAATCATCTTCGTATGGGTCCATAATTGGATTCAGGAAAGCCTTCGTTATCTCTACGGCAAGATTTGGGTTTCTTTCCACAAACAACCTGAAGTCACCACAATCTACAATTGTATTCATATTCCTAGCGATAAAACTCAAACATGCATTGGTGAGAGATTTGTCATTCGTCCAAAGGAATTTGGGAGAGCTTAAGCAAGTCAGGAGCATTCGACGAATTCAGAGAAGATATCAGCTCGTCTCTGGACAAGTCTTGTAAATGCATGATCTTGTATATATCTATCGGCTGCTATATAAAGCGACCGAACATGTTTCTTCAGTTTTGCAAAAGAAAATGATACACCATCGCTATACATGAACTCAACTAGGGTCTCTAACTCTTGGTGTTCCATCTCCGATAGAGTTATTGTTTTAGTGCCGGAAAATACCTCAGATAAACAATGATAAAAGCATGTCAAAACTCAAAATTAGTATTTATAGTGTTTTTCCATGATATTAAAGATGAAAAATAATAGAGAAGAGGAGAAATACAAGAACAAGTTTGTGGACAGAGATAACTGCACAATGATCATTAGTGTCTCCTGCCATGAGTCGTAGATCGGTATGCCATTTTTCTTTTAAGACTTTTTCAAATCCACCCAAGAAAAGGTCTTTATTAGTTTAACAAAAAAAAAGGTCTTTATTAGTCTGTATTGCCATATAGTACTTGTCGCTTTTGTTCCAAGTAAAGCGAATATATTATAAGTTTAGTTATAAGATCGATGTTAGGGTTATATAGAAAACCAAAAGCCAAAATGACGGTCAAACTGGATGAGACATTCATATAATGTTACAAGTTACAACAAATGACGAATCAGGAAAAAAAGGCTCCTCACTATTACCAAAAAGTATAATTGTCTTTATGATTTTGTTGACTCATTCATTTTGTATTGGTTCACACGATACCAATTTTATTTCGACACCTAGCTAAGTGACAACTAACAATCATTACATTATTACTTTAAATACTACTGCCTCCGTTTTAAATTATGTCGTTTTATAAGTTAAATTTTGTTTTAAATTAGTTATCGTTTTAGATTTTTAATACATATTTTTGACAGATTTTCCAATTTTATTCCTAATTTTAGCTTATTAATTGACGATATCACATAAAACAATACATTAATTAGAAGTAAAACAGATCCTACCAAAAAAAAAAAATTAGAAGTAAAACAGAAAAATTGAATAAATGTGAAAAAACTTAAACTACAACTAATTAAAAACGGGAGTATGTGATTTGCAGAATTTCAAAACAAAATTTGATTTGCAGTCTTTTGTTGAGATGATGACTATACAAATTTCTAATTAGTTTTATTTAAAAACACATTCATCATCTCTACCTATTTAGAACCATTCATCCCCACTTATTTCTTTTGATCTCGTAAAAGATGGAGTTGGGAAAATCAATTGAGAACCAAAACGACGTGGTGGTAAGACTAACAAAGCATGTCATCTCTACCATTGCCAATGGTTCCAACCTTGTCTTCTCACCAACGTCAATCAACGTTTTGCTCAGCCTCATCGCGGCCGGTTCAAGTTGTGTGACCAATGAAAAAATCCTCTCATTCCTCATGTTACCGTCAACGGATCACCTCAACATAGTCTTGGCCAAAATCATAGACGGCGACACGGAGACAAGTGATTTGCGCTTGTCTATAGCCAATGGTGTTTGGATCGACAAGTTTTTCTCCTTGAAGCCTTCCTTTAAAGCGCTTTTGGAGAATTCTTACAAGGCTACTTGTAATCAAGTTGACTTCGCAACCAAGGTATCTTTTTTTTTTTTTTGTTTATGGACAAATCTTGAATTTCTTGAATTTATATAACATCCAGTTTGTGGAATGATTTGTCAAATTTTATGATCTCTTATCATGAAGCCTTCTGAAGTGATTGATGAGGTGAATACATGGGTTGAAGTCCAAACTAATGGACTCATCAAGGAGATTCTTTCACGCGATTCTATCGATACTATCCGTAGCAGCACACTCGTTCTTGCAAATGCAGTCTACTTCAAAGGAGCATGGAGCAGTAAATTTGATGCAAACCTGACAAAAGATAACGATTTTCATCTGCTTGACGGTACCTCGGTGAAAGTCCCCTTCATGACCAATTACGAGGACCAGTACCTAAGAAGCTATGATGGTTTCAAAGTTTTGCGCCTCCCTTATATAGAGGATCTACGTCAATTCTCTATGTACATTTATCTTCCTAACGATAAAGACGGATTAGCTGCTCTGCTTGAGATGATAGGCTCCGAACCAGAATTTATCGATAACCATATTCCGCTCCACCGTATATCAGTTGGTGCTTTCCGGATCCCAAAGTTTAAATTCTCTTTCGAGTTTAATGCTTCAGAAGTTCTGAAAGATATGGGGCTGACTTCACCATTTAATAATGGAGGTGGTTTAACTGAGATGGTTGATTCACCTTCCAACGGTGGAGATCTATACGTCTCAAGCATTCTTCATAAAGCTTGTATTGAAGTGGATGAAGAGGGAACCGAAGCTGCAGCCGTCTCCGTTGGCGTCATAATGTGCACTTCTTTGAGGCGGAATCCGGATTTCGTAGCTGACCGTCCATTTCTGTTCACTGTCAGAGAAGACAAGAGTGGAGTGATTTTGTTCATGGGTCAAGTTCTTGATCCTTCAAAACATTAATTGAACTTGGATGTGTGGGAGAAAACATTAAGCCACCATATATTATGTTGTATTTTGTGTATATTCATGGTTTGATGGAATTGGGTTCCTCTTTTTACTGCTTTGTGTGTGATTAATAAAAGTGATTATTGTCAAGAGATTTGCAAGATTTATGGTTTTTCAGATTATATTTTAGTGTTGACATAATCATCTTTAATTATTGTATCTTGCTGCAACAGTTACTTGTAAGAATGCTCTCTTTCCCACAAACTCCTATCTTGTCTCCCCGTGATTCAGTATCGTAAAACTGTCAAAGTTCTAGAGATTGGTGCTCAAGGTTGATTTGCAAGGTTTCGTCTCCATATGCTCTGCCTCACAGGTTTTGCTTATAAGAACCATCGTAGTTTCATCTCTTGTTACAACATTTTAGCCATTGTGTATGAAAAAAGATATATGAAGCAAGTAATTAAACTGGCATTACCGCATGTTTCTCCTACTCTCCTCCGACATCCAAGTTATAAAAGATCATTCCAAAATTCATATATGCTACTTCATCTTTCATCATTTGATTTTTATTCTTTGGTTAAATCTTGGTCCTTAGGTTCAGTCACAATAACATCTTTTTTAGGCAGTGAATTAATTTTGGAGACAACAATGCGAATACCATTTGAAGTGTTGAAGCAACGTTACAAGTGTTTATTTGATGATATAGTGGAAGCTACGATTTGAATTGGCATCAAGATGGACTCAAAGGACTCTTTGGCGTGGGAGTTTACAACGAATCAAAGAAAATAATCTTGGTAAAAGAAAACAATCACATATATTAATTAATATCTATGTGTACTTAATGGAGAACTAAACTATAGACATGGCGCTGGGTTTGAGTATCAAAGGTTGTGGAGAGAAGATTAGGGAGAGAGTCGTGGGAGGCTATCGCAGTTGTAGCCTTGTCCGGTGGTTTCACGGTTGTTCTAACAACGTCACTCTATGTGACTAAAGCGAGAATGGTGGAGGCTCCATGAGGCCTGGATTATTTATCCATGTGGATGGCTGCTTATTTCATTCTCACACATGAGGGTCCTCTTTTTTTTTTTCTATAAAAGAGTTATTCCATGGTTCTTCTCGACTGCTCCACTTTTAGCCTTGAACTTAGCTGGCTATGAACTACCTCAAAAGGCTATGATAACACATTCACACCTCTTGTACGTCTCAATGATTTTGGGTCAACCGGTTTTTGGTTGGGGTCGTGTGTTGTTTACCTAAGTTTGATTAATTAATATGCTTGTTCATCACAAAAGAGAAGAAAGCGATACTGGGCCAGGATTACATATAGCCACAAAAATAGGAAGCTAAATAAAAAGACGTTAGAGGGTTTGTTACAAAAACAGAGTATATAACTATGGCCTTAATTCTGTCTATAATTAACAAAATGATCTTTGAAGGAAAGAAAAAAGTAGTATAGATGAAGATGCTCTCTATCATCTTTAACTTCTTTTACTCTTTCTTGTGCGATCCAAAATACTATATAGTCTTCTCTCATATAAATTTTCTACAAACGTCGGATAATGAACTTATATCATCTAAACACAACATCAACAAATGACAAAAATTTATTCCACAAAAAGAATCTAAGATAAGGTTCTAAAAGCGTCACTAATGAAGTAGACATATATCCTCAACCATGAAACAGTCCATGGCATTCGACAACAACACATTCTAATGTCAACGTAGTTCATATGTGTCTCTTTCTATGAGCTTCTCTATTGGCATTGACCTTGCATTTAACTCGTAATCCATTTTTTTTTAACGACACATTTACTTCCAAAATAAATTGTTTTAAGAAGTTGTAATGTACCAAAAAGAATTTCGAGTTTGCGGGAATGAATGAAGTCTAGAATATGAACAAGAACTTTAACAAAGAATTACTCTCTTTATTGCTTAGGAAAATAGCTCAAAACCTAAAAGTTCTATCTCTCAAATTCTCTCACAACTCATATGTTTATCACAAGCTCAATAAACATATATATAGGGTTTTACAAAACTCATAAACCGACTTTGATTAGTATCTAGATAACTCCTAGACCTAATACAACTTTATCCTAAAACACATTCATAAACCGACTTCATTAACTTGGGCTTTAAGTCAAGCTTATTCCAACAATCTCCTCCTTAAGCTTGAAGCCTCCTTTCTTCACTTCTTGTACTCCAATAAACTCTCTCATTTCACTGAACTTTACTCTTCCGAGAGCTTTAGTCAATATGTCTGCTTTCTGTTCTTCTCCCGGAATGTGCATGACCTCAATTTGTCCAAGCTCAACACATTCTCGAATAAAATGATATCTTCTATGAATGTGTTTGCTCCTACCATGGAAAACATGGTTCTTTGTAAGAGCTATAGTTGATTGATTGTCGATGAAGACAATGACCTTCTCATTTGGTGTTCCTGCAATTTCACTGAGTAAGTCTTGAAGCCAAATGCCCTGTTTCGCAGCCTCTGTCCCTGCCATGAACTCTGCTTCACATGAGGATAACGCCACAACACTCTGCTTTTGTGAGCACCATGAAATTGGACCTTCTCCAAGATAAAATATATGTCTCATGGTACTTTTCCCATCATCTGGATCCACGTTGTGGCTGCTATCACTGTACCCTATTAGTTTTGGCACATCATTGCTCCGTTTAAACACTAGACCTAGAGATGTTGTTCCTTTCAAATACCTCAAACACCGTTTCATTGCTACAGCGTGTGATTCTCTAGGACTCTGCATATATCTGCTCTGGATTCCTACACAGTATGAAAGATCTGGTCTGGTATGGAGAAGGTACCTGAGACACCCCACATTCTTCCTATAAATCGTAGCATCAATCTCTTTCTCGTGTTCTGACTTTGAAGCTTTTAATCCAGTTTCCATAGGTGTATGAACTGGATTACAATCTCCCATACCAGCTTCTTCTAGAATTTTCAGAGCATATCTGTGTTGATTCAAAGCAATCCCCTCATTGTGTTGTACGACTTCTATTCCAAGATAGTAAGTGAGTTTTCCCAAGTCACTCATTTCAAACTTTGAGGACATCTCTTCTTTGAATTCTTTGATGATCTCCAAGCTTGTTCCTGTCACAAACAGATCATCAACATACACAGCTATGACTAATAAGTGTTTTTCAACCTCTTTTCGATACACTGATGGTTCATTTGAGCACTTTTTGAACTGTAATTCACAAAGTATCTGGTTCAACTTGTTATTCCAGGCTCTTGGTGCCTGTCTTAGCCCATATAGAGCTTTGTTGAGTTTGTAGACTTTATCTTCTTTTCCTTTTATCTCAAAACCTTCAGGTTGGTTAACATAGACTGTTTCTTTTAGTTCTCCGTGTAAGAATGCTGTTTTGACGTCAAGATGACGTATCTCCCATCCGTGTGAAGCTGCCAAGTCAATCAAAAGTCTAATGGGTTCTATTCGTGCAACTGGAGCAAAAACTTCCTCAAAATCTACTCCATATTGTTGTACATATCCTTTTGCAACGAGTCTGGCTTTATGCTTATTAATGCTCCCATCTGAATTCCTTTTGAGTTTAAAAACCCATTTTAGGCCAATTGGTGAAACACCTAATGGTCAATCCACAAGATTCCATGTTTTTAGCTTTTCTATGGAACTTATCTCATCTTCACATGCATCTATCCATTCTTTGATTTCTTTGGCTTCATGGAAACTTCTTGGTTCATCATTTAAACATAAAAGCAACACTTCTCCTTCTTCTTCAGCCATTAACACATAATCTTCAAGATATTTTGGTTTAATGATTTGTCTCTCTGTTCTTCTTAAGACTGGTGGTGAGACATAGCTAGGATCCACATTCTCACTTTCTTCTTCCTCATTAAACTCGAATCTATCTTCTGTTTCAGTATCACTTTCATTTGCCTCATTATCAATCGGATCATGATTTTGCAGACCATATTCTGTTTCTGCTTGTTCTGTTTCAATGGTTTCTCCATCTTCTCGGAGACCATTATTCCCATAAGTATCAAATGTGATATGAAAGCTTCCATCCCCATCTTTTGTTAAGTTTTTATGTTCCCAGTTCCATCCTTTTGCTTCATCAAAAATGACATCTCGGCTTACTACTACCTTCTGTACCTGTGGATCAAACAAACGATATGCTTTTGACCCTGGTTCTATGCCTAAGTGAACAAGCATCCTAGATCTGTCATCAAGTTTTTTCAGATGTGGCTTGTTTATCTTTGCATACGCAATGCAGCCAAATACTCTAATGTGCTCAACTGTTGGCCTTTTTTCTCGAAAACATTCATATGGAGTTTTGTCTTTAAGAGTTCGTGTAGAGACTCTATTCAATATGTAGGTAGAATGTCTGATGGCCTCTCCCCACAAGTAGTTTGGTAATTTCATATGCTTCAGAATACTTCTAGCCATCTCCATTAGGGTCCTGTTGCGTCTCTCCACCACTCCATTCTGTTGAGGAGTGTATGGAGCAGTAAGATGTCTTTTTATCCCTGATTCTTCACAAAAGGAATTAAACTCAAATGATACAAACTCTCCTCCTCTATCCGTTCTAAAAGTTTGTATTCTTGATCCTGATTCTTTTTCAACTAAAGCTTTGAAATTCTGAAACTTTTTGAATGCATCTCCTTTTTCTTTCAGTAGAATGGTCCACATATAACGGGAGAAATCGTCAATAAGCACAAAGATGTACCTGTTCCCAGCACTTGTGCTTGGTGATATTGGTCCACAAAGGTCACCGTGGATCAGCTCAAGTTTCTTGGTAGCTCTATAAGTTGTTTCCTGTGGGAAGCTTTGTCTGGTTTGCTTACCAAGCAAACAAGAGCTGCAAATTTCTTTTTCAACTGTAATAACAGGAGCACCTAAGACGAGTTTCTTATAAACCATGTTCTTTAAGCTTGCAAAATTTATGTGTCCCATCCTTGCATGCAGTCTGCTTGAATCACTTACTGTTGTCAAATACAGGTTTGCTTCTTTTCTTAACCCCATCTGGACCTTGTATAGTCTGTTCTTGGATCTTTCTGCCTTGACTAGTAATTTTCCATCAAAATCAAGCATTGTCAGATATTCTCCTTTAAGTCTTATATCACAGCCAGATTCAGTAGCTTGTCCTAGGCTTATGATGTTGCTTTTTAAGTCAGGTA